TTTGTGATAATATGGCATATATCTCATTAATGAAAAGTTTCTACTTCATCTTTTATAGAATTTTTTAAGTAACTATTGCAGCTTTAATGAAAATTTACCAGAAAAAATCTAGACTGTTTGCATATTGTCTTGCTGTTACAAATTTTACATTAGAAAAACTTTTGCAGATATGTGTTGAAACATTTCTTTACCTCTTTCCCTGAGGAAACAATGATACAGGTATTTGATATATTGCTCTAAACTTTGGTGGTGATTTGTATTTTTGTCATGTTGGTTTCAAGTCAGGAAGTCAGCTGAACTTTCTGGTTTGTACAGGGGAGGCGATTTAGACTGAGAATTGCTGCACAGAGATAAGATCTTTTCCATGAAGATCGGAGATGAAATGAGGATCACTGGTGGTCTAGAGCATAACAGGGTCCGCATTAAAAGAAATTCACAAGAAAGGGGAAATATATTCTGGGTTTAAGCCCTTTGCTTAAATACTATCAGGGGTAATAGTGTGGAGAGGAGAGATGATCCATTGTCTCCTTATATACACGCTAGTCATCCTGATTGAGAAATGTTCTCAGGTCAGTTGTGCAGAAACATGGGACGTTCCAGCTTACAGCAAATATTCTCTCTGTGACAGGAAAATCACGTAGAAATAACAGCAAAACATTTATTTATTTTTAAATTCCTCTTTATTGAGAGTCAGGGAAATTGGTTGATTGGTGGAGATATGTGCTACAAATGCTTTTTAGTTTTGTCTTATTTTTTTTTTGGAATTTTCTTTTAAATGTTTTATGATAATACTTATTAATTGTAAAAGCTCCAACAATAACAATGCTAATGTGGCCTAAAGCTCAATATTTTGCCTTCGTTTCTGGACCTTGACTTGATCAGAGACTGCTGTCTTCCGCTAGAAGCAACACTTGTCATTTGGGTTTTATGAGGTGTTTTTTTTTATGAGGTTTAATGTGTTGCTACAACTTGTCACACTTTTCCCACAAACATTTATGTGTTGTTTGTTGGTTATTTATGGTCCTAAAATAACAAACCTTCTTAGACTTTTTTTTACGATCTAACATTGTTTCTGTATTTTATTAGCTGCAGGATGCTGTGCTTGCTTGGCATTATATACTGATGCATTGAAAAAAGTATTTCCTACCAAAAATATGCATTCAGTGAGAAATGCACTTACCAAGAGGCCGAGAAGTTTGATATTTGCAGCTAAATTCTTATTTCAGGTGGCAGAATCAAAAGTGTCATTGATTGGATTAAATAACCAATTTTAACGCCTAAAGCTCTGGTATCTAAGGTGCCGTATTGTAATATTGATCCACATGTCACTAACTCTCGCTTCAGATGGCCAACTCCCATAATGTGTAAGGAAAAGGAGGCTCATTTAGCAGAACTCTCCAAGCTGACTGGGGGGAGTGACATATAGTCCCCACCTAAATTAGGAGATTTGCTAAAATCTCCTGATTTTAGCAAATCAGGAGATAAAAAGCTACCAAGATCTTAACCACCCTAAAATGAACAAAATGCTTCTTGCTCTTTTTCCTTCAAAGAATAAATCATAAAATCCGACAATACAGATGTTTTGATATTGCTGTTAAACCATAAAGAGACATTATGTAAGTTTTTATTGAAAAGTATCTTTAAAATAGCCTTTTTTACCCTTTACAACTAAATTATGGCTTGATGAGCAGATTGAAATCACAGGTTAGCCTTTATGCATCTATAAGCCTGTAGCCTATTTTCATTAATGGGTCTGAAGTAGCAAAGATTTGAAGCTTTATATTTGAGATGGACTTTTTGGATCCTCAGAAGTGACCAGCATCTAGCTCAACTTAGACACTAATTGGAACTCCAGGTAATTTGAAAAAAGGAAAACAATAAAAATATTTTTCTGGTTTTTGGCCACATGGAGCAGTATCATTGGGAAACACCATAATGCTTCTTTAAATCATAATCCTACATTGTAATTGGCCAACCTATTTTGAGTCTGTTCTTTGGAAGGCTTGAGGCAGGAGTGGAACAAGATGGATTCTGGTGTGCTTTTGAACGTACAAATAACACTAGGATTCAAATTGCAAGTAAGGTTAATTTTGAATGATACTGTAATTAACTATTAACATCAATACACTTACAATGACAATGAAAAAATCTGTAGTGGGCCATAATCGGTGTTAGCGCAGCACGTTAACATCAGACTCTTATTGGGCAATTAAAAAGAATATCACTGTTAAAAAGGTTGCAAGTACCTGGTTCAATACCGACAGCCTGCTCTCTGGGTCTCTGAGCAAGACCCTTAACGCCACACTGCTCCCCGGGTGCCATACAATGGCAGCCCAATGTTCCCCAAGGGGATGGGCTAAATGCTGAGGTTAAGTCCGCCAGTGTGAGATCAATAAAGTTCAACTGATGTTATTCTCATAGTTGGTTTGGGAGCTGGGTCTATAGATATGACTTTGCGTAGATGTATATCGGGGGGGTGAACAAATCAGTGTTGTGTGTAGGCGTACTGTTAACACATTGAACAAGACCTGCTAACATAGATGCAGCTATAAACCCGCCGGGTTTGCTTAATTTATTTTAAAGAACGCCCATCAGCGTGGTTTAAGATGGTGGGCTCGAGGTTGTTCTCCAGGCGGCCACAGGTGAGCCATCTTACAAGCTACTGTACCTCAAAGGTGAACTATCATGAGGAGAATACATGACGTGCACGCCGTGGAAAAAGCCCCAAAAGATGAGAAGTTGGTCAAAGCAACGTGTTTAGCACTGACGATCGACCACTGGACATCTGTCAATACCGTGGCGTTACTGTACACCTCATCGACGCCAGCTGGGAACCTCGCTTTAGGTAGGCTATGTTATGTAATTTTAAATTTCCTTTTAACACATCACCACAAATGATTACCACAACATTATGTTTGCTTCTTGATGATTGCTTTGGTGAATGTGGTTAAAATGGGATGCATTTTGAAAATGTTTGTTCAGTGGTATAATGTGATGCATTTTGGAAAAAGGAGATGAGCCCCTGGTCTAATGCGTCACCTAGCTTAAGAAACCTATTCAAAGACTTACTTTTACTTATTTTCAGACGTGTCAAGTAATGAAGTACAACTACTTTGTTACTGTACTTAAGTACACTTTTTAGGTATCTATACTTGACTCCATTACTTATTTTTCTTCCCACTTCTGACTTCTACGTACTCATTACATTTTCACACAAGTATCTGTACTTTCTATTCCTTACATTTAAAAAAAAACGTTACTCCTAACTCGGCTTCGGTTTAATGTTTACAAACATTTATTTCATGTCATGTGTGCCATCCAATGCAGATCATTGGTACCATCCACATCTAGTGAAAACTAGTGTAATTGGATGAGTCATATAACGCAAACACTCATTGGTTAGTCAATGGAAATCATCAGAAGCAAGCAGGTGTTCTTCAAACTGTAAACGCGAATTGTCTATGCCATGCTACAATGTTGGATTCAGAAAAAGGTTTAGAAATGTCTGAAAAGTCGGACACAGGCGAGAGCTTATCGGGAGATGGAGACGGAGTCCAACAAGACCTCCCTCATTCTTGCCCCTATCTAAAAGAATTTTTTGAAATAGTCAAAAAATTGAGCTTTCAATTCATATAGAGGCATTTGTTTTTTTGTTTTGTTTTTTAAAGATTACTTTATACTTTTAATCTGTCAGTAGTTTTTGGAGCACAAAGTTTTTCACTTTTACTTGAGTAAAGAGGTCAAATTGATACTTGTGTTGGTGTTTTCAAACTAAAGTTACAAATATTTGTACTTTTGACACCACTCCTTATTATTTAGGTAGCTCACACTTATAATCCATATCTTATTTTATTCTTTTCTATATCTTATTTAATTCATATCCTTATCTAATTTTATTCTTATGTCTTATTTGTACTTACAATCCTTTTTTTTCTCTGTTCTGTAAACAGTTGCACTGCAAGAAAGAAAATTCCCGCAAGTGACTAATAAGTAATGATTTTTGAATAGTGATTCTGATTCATGAAGCCCTTTGGCAGAATTCAAATGAGATATTTTAATCTAGATTAATGTAGATTAATTCCAAGATTACTGAGAGATTATCCAGAATGAAAAAAAGTATCTATGCCCACCTCTAGAAAAAGTACAGAATTCATGATCTTTGCAAAATACGTTTTTTCATATTATGAGAAAGAAGGGGAATCTCTGCGAGTCATCTAGCATTTTTCTATGTTATTAGAGATAAAGAACAGTTGCTCAATCCATTTAATGTGAATATTATGCAGAAACAGAAATAATTTAGACATTTGATAATATGTATGCTGATTTAGCAGTAGGGGCTCTTAGATAATCTAATATGTTTACAGATCAGGTGCCCCTTAATATTTGTGCTGGTACAGTGTGATTGGTGTAAATTGACCCTTAACTGGTATTTGGCCCTCTAAGCTTTTCTCCACCCTGCAGTCCAGGTTGGTCCCTGCCTGGCAACCCGTGTGAAAACTTTTTGATTATACCTCTGATTATACTCAATGCTTGTTGGCTCTTTGTTTTGCGAGTTTAGATGTTTGATCTGACGAAGCTTGAGCTGCGCAACATTGTTATTATGATGAAAAATAAGCCTTGCACTGGTAGTTCTCATGGATAAAAAAATAAAAAATCACACTCACCAGCTGTTGGTGCTGGGGTAAAAGTGCCATGAAAACAATATTGGAAGATCTCATTTTTTGGTCTCCATTATCTCCTATGATTCTCGTACAAAAATGTATACTGCTATATATCCATCTTTTTTAAAAATTTCAACACCTGTTCATTTGCTTTAAATTAATTATAAAATACCTAACAGTTGAAAAAAAATTCTTCCCAGCAAATTTTGGCTTTATTGTGGCAAAGAGGCCCCTTTTCACTGTAAATTTAGGATAACCAATCACATGCATTTAGTAGTCTGCATCGCCACACCTCCCTTAGTTACTTAAGCATTAGGTGTTCTTGAAGACAGTGTCAACATGACTCTGCTATGGGTTATACTGCTTCTTCTTCATCAAGGATGTAAGTAGATTTAAAAACACAAGTTAACATCTTAAAATAATATATTACGTCTTATATTTAAACTGTTTTTAAAGCTGATATTCAATGTAATGTTTTGTTGCTTTTTATGTACTGCAGATACCTTAGTTCCTGTCATCACAGTCCAGCTTGGAGAATCTGTTACTTTGACCTGTCTGACTGACAAGTTTCAGGTTGTGACATGGGTTCACTGGTACAAGCAGAGTCCAGGATATACTCTGAAATTAATTGCAAAGGTGCATGAAAGTACAGAGCCCATCTATGGGGTTGGATTCTCAGCCTCAAGATTCAGACTTACTTACAACGGCAATCAAAGCAACTTGATAATTTTGTCAACAGTTGAACAGGATGAAGGAATGTATCACTGTGCTTATATGGACTGGAATGAATATGCTTGGACTGGGACTTATTTGTCATTAAGAGGTAAATTTTGGGTATTTGTATAAAACGGAGGACTGTAAATTAAAAGTGCCTCTTTGTGACTTTTTGTCAGTTTGGTCTTACAATTCCGCAAATAAACTGCCAAAAAGATTTTTGCAAGACTTGAATCAGGTAGAGATGTTGTGAAAACAGCTAAATATTAGGGTGAAGGTATAGGACCTTCAACTTGAAAGATTTGGAGTTTAGCATTTAAGAGGAATTCTCAACTATCAGTGGAAACCTCTAAATGCTGGAAAGCAATTACAATAACAGGTCAATTGCTCAATGGAAATCAACAAAAGTAATCCTTTATTAAAAGGGTATTAAAATATTTGAGAGTATAGTTTTTAACAAATAAAAGAAATACCTTTTTTCATATGTTGGTTTAGTCTTTGCTAAGAATAAAATCCAAATTTGATCTATCAGAACTATTGACAATGTAAAGATGCAAATAACATGAATGTTGTTAGTAATGTAAGTTCATTCAAAACATTCCATAGTTTTCATTATATATATATATATATATATATATATATATATATATATATATATATATATATATATATATATATATATATATATATATATATATATATATATACATATATATATATATACATATATATATATATATATATATATATATATATATACATATATATATATATATATATATATATATATATATACATATATATATATATATATATATATATATATATCTTAATTTTAGCCGAAAATATTTCGATGACTCATTTTTTTATAAATATATATATATTTATAAAAAAATGAGTCATCGAAATATTTTCGGCTCAAATTAAGATGGCAATAACTTTATTAACCGGATTTTTGTTCTTTCCTTTTTCCAAAGGAAACTCTGAGAGGACATCAAGCTACACTTTGGTTCACAAGCCAGCAGTTTCTAATCCTACTCATCCAACAGATTCTGTGACTCTGCAGTGTTCAGTTCTGTCTGAGTCTGCAAGCACAACCTGTCCAGGAGAACCCGGTGTGTTTTGGTTCAGAGCCATATCAGATAAATCCTATCCCGATATCATCTACACTGAAGGAAAAAAACAGGAAGATTGTGAAAAGACGTCAAACAATCAGAAGAAATGTCGTTATCACTTCTCGATGAACGTCAACTCTTCTGAAGTCAACACCTATTACTGTGCTGTGGCCACATGTGGAGAGATATTATTTGAAAAAAGAGCAAATATGGTGAAGAACAATCAAGGTATTATGCATCATGTTATTTATGTTGTCATGTAAAAATTATGTTTTTCTGATATGTTTTTTTTCTTTGTTTTTCAGAAAAAACATTGAGAACTGAAAGAATTGTCTTGATGATCACGTTAATCTGCTTAGCTGTTTCTGTGACCTTGAATATTATTTGTATTTGTCACAGAACTCAAATATCATCCTGTACCCGATTCAAAGGTAGGTGTAATTTACTAAACTAAAGCTCTTAAAGCCATCATAACATGAACTCCATGTATTAAATTAGGTATTAGATCCAATCCCATAACAGAACTGAACATCAGATATTGACTGATAGATATTGATGTTTTGATGGAAAACATAATTGACTCCATATGTTGTTAATGTGTCTGCAGAAAGTTCCCCTTCTCAGGAATATCACGGAAACTTAAGCCAACCAATAGATAAGGTGAGAAACAAAACTAATGATCACATCGGTTTGACTATAATAGTAACCAACAGAGGTGGCCAATATGAAATAAATGTATATTTTTCCTTTTTTTCACAGAGTGAATATGGGCAGGATCTAAATTATGCTGCATTGCATTTCTCTAGAGGGACGGATAAAAAAGGAAAAAATAAAGTTCAGATTGGAGAAAGTGTGTATTCACAAGTTAAATAATAGAGGTCAATATGATTAGGGTAACTCTCAACTTGTGCTAAGGTCTGCCATTTTGAATTATGAAGTCACACAAAAAAAGTAAATACTGTTAGTGTCATCTCATCGTTTAGAGATGGATCATACATGAAAATAAATTATTTAAATATTTTCCAACCTTACATGATGAAATAGGATTATATCAGTATATTGAAATATGTACAGATTTGTCAGAAAAAAGTTATTTAAAAATTTTCAAATCAAACGGATGATTTTGTGAAACAATAAATAAAAAATGTACCTTAATTATCAGGCATGTGCTTTAAAATGATTTAATAAATAAATGGATATTTCAACAAAAGTATACCTATTTTTGTTAACTATACTGTACCTTGGTTTGATGAACCCGTCTAATGTTGTCATTTATAAAAAACAAAGTACCAGGGTAGGTAAAAGAGAATATGACAGGTAAGGTTTACATAGAAATGTGGTCTATTTCACATTATTTAACAGATAAGGGTAAAAGTTATTAAACTTACAACTTAAAACTCAAAAGACTAGTTTCGACTCTACAGCCTTTACAAGAAACAGACAATATGTAACACAATGTATATCTTTTTGTTGGCTTTTATTTTTGGTTTATATACTGTAATGACAACAAATTAGCAAAATACTGATCATAGTTTAGGATAGAACACATTTTAAATCAAACAACTTAGTGTTTTATTGCAAAACTAAGGAAAAAAATGAGCTAAAACATAGGGTGCTGCTTTCAAATTCAGCTATTTGAAATTCATTAATAGTATGCTGAAGAAAGTCTTGACATTCTCATAACCTTTGATGGCTGACTGGTGTCTTAACTAAGGTCGAGTGATTGGATGATTCTATACATCATCTGTAATGTTTTTTGTTTGTTTCTTTTTTTGACCTACGACAAGAAAAACAAGCAAAACAAAAAGAAAAAAATATATAAAATAAAAACAAAACAAAAAGGAAACCTAATGCTGTTTTTTATGGTGTACACATACTCCTTCCATGTGCAGCTCTTTTCCTCATAGCAACCGTGCAGCAGCAGAACCAGAACCAGGGAGAGGCAATATTTTTTCAGGTGTGTTTACGGGCTGCACCATCTTGATTTTAACACAACAAATGCAAAATTAAACAACAACAAAAATAAAAATGAACATTCTCTCCTCCAGTTAGGCTGTACTCTTTCAATAAAAAAATAAATAGATAAATCTCTATCCCTGTTTTCAGTCTGTGCGGTTTTAAGTCTGTGCCATGCAAATACACAATGAATAACGATCCAAAAACTATAATGTCTCATAACAAAGTCAGAACAACTGGAAAAGAGGAAGCAATTCCCACTGGAAGAAACTTTTAAATTTTTGACAAGACAACAGACATGTTTAACTTAGTGGGTTTCAGCCAGACATGTTCACAAGTCATTTTTTGCAAGTCCAAGTCAAGTCTCAAGTCTTGAGAGCTCAAGTCCAAGTCAAGTCTAGAGTAGGCCTGTTGCAATATTAAATTAATCGCACAATAAATTCTAATCACATGATTAATAAAAATAAGTTCAATAATTTGCGTGCTTGCTTGTTTCTCCTTGTGTTTTCATCTTCTTCACTGAGACGTTATAGCTTAAAGGTCGCTATTATATCTATGGAATGATCATTATCTTGAACTGGTAAATGAAAAATACATGCTTATATGTCACGTAGCGTTGTGACGAGTGGCGAGCGGCGATCAGTCAAGTTAGTAAAACAAAAAACACTTAAAAAATAAAATATTGTTCACAAGTCGGAAATCGCGAGTCTCGGTTGAGTCTGAAGTCCTTCAAATGCAAGTCTAAGTCGAGTCTGAAGTCATTAAATATGCGACTTAAGTGCGTCTCGAGTATGAGTCACAAACTCGAGTCCCCACCTCTGGTTTCAGCACTGTGCGCAATTGGTTAACAATATTACCAGCGGGGCCGAAGACGTGCTCATAGGGTGTGCTCGTCACCTCCACAAATGTATCGTCCATTGCCATTTGTTGGACTGACAAATATCGGTTGGAAAATTTGTACATATCGCCCATATACTCTGAACTTATCCTTTTGGATCTCATTGCTGCCTTTGATACAATTGATCACAGTATTCTCTAGGAAACATTCGATAGGGATCAAAGGAACTGCTGTGAGCTGATTGTTTTGATAGTTGTTTGAACGATACCAGCATGTTTATGTTCATTATAAGTAATCTTCACCCACCAGCAAACTGTAGGTTTGTGCAGTGACCTCTTTAGACAGCAGGTTTGTAAGAGAAGCTACATGTACACTCTACTGGATAGTGTTCCTCAACTTTCAGAAGACTGGATGACTCCAGAGGCTGATGTTTCCTTGGAAGAACTGTCTTTCACTGTAGTTGACTTCTAGAAAGATCCCAGGTTTAGATGATTATATACAATAGTATATCTAAAAAATGTATTTGGTTATTTTAGTTGGTTAAACTGGTGTGAGTGTACTCTAACAAGAAAACACTATTTAGCACATTCTGTCACAAGGGAACCTACCTACCAGGGAACGGTTCTGGTAGTTAATAGCTCATTTGCATTTAGCCCTCTGATATGAACTAATTATGTTACCACCACCATTATCACCCACATGTCTTCAAAAGAACCTAGTGGATTTGTTATGGTCATGACTACACTGGTTAATATTTAATGCCCTGTATACCATTGGAAGCAGAATGACAAGGAATTATGGACCTTATGGGTCAAGCCTTTCAGGCTTTTAAAAGACCGATATGTCAAGACTCAGAAGAGAGGACCCAGAATTCAAGGCATACACACAGGCTAATTTCTCAAAAGTGTTTATTAACAACAAAGGATCTGCAGGGACGTCTAAGGCAGGAACCTCTGGTCTTAAAGTTCGGTCTGTGCCCATGGGAAGGAGTGGATTCCAGCCGAATGGTTTCCAACACCAGACAGAGAAAACTGCTCAGAGAGTTCCAGACAATGTATCCTTGAATGCTGCAGAACTGGACGACGAACAGATCCTAGCAGACGAAGGAAGGAGGGACTATCCAAAGGGCTACGTCAAAGTCGTTGTCGAAGAGGTCCACAGGAGTCAGAGCCAGAAGATCAGAGATACGAAGAGGTACCAAAGGGAAATCCATGTCGAAGTCAGGATGCAGATCTCGGTTTAGTCCACAGGCAGAATCTATCAGAAGTCTGAAGACAGGTCAGGCAAAAATATCAGAACAGGAACAGGCAGGCTCAGAGGTCCAAAGGTAGAACGAGTCAGAATCAGGCAATCAGAACACAAATGGGTACACTAGAGAACTCTCACCAAAGGCTCGAATAATCAGGCACTGATGACTGGGAGCAGGCAGGTTAAATACAGACTTGAGCAGGCGACAAAAATGAACAGTAATGAGAAACTTGGCGGAGTTACAAAGATAAATGAAATTAAACATTAAGCCATCATTAGCTCCAAGATTATGACACGCTATATATTACGAGATGGCTGGATACCGCTTATCTATTTCTGTTGAAAACTTGACATTTCGCTTATGATGAATATCTTATTTTATTTGGTTACAGTCAGACCTAATTGGTTTCACTCCTTTTTTACCACTAAGTTTCAAAGGCTTTCCTTATCCTTCAGCAGAAAAATTACATGACACAGAGAATGTGGGTTTTTGAAGAACTCATGAAAACAGTTTTGTCTCGTCACAGCTGCTCTCATGTGCAACATGGAGATTTAAGATAAGATAAGTGGGCTGTGTGAGCTTTCAAACTGTGCCAAACCTTCTGAGTGTGTACTAACAGACTTACATTAAAGGAATAGTACACCCAAAACATGATTAGCCTTCATTTTCTACTCACCCCCATGCTGAACAAAACTCTGGAGTACTTTTTTGATATCTCAAATGTATCTGGAGATCTGGGAGGCTTCTTGCTGTCTGCTGACATTCAAATAATGGAGGTCTATGGCGCCCGAGACAGAAAGGTCCATAAAAGTCCACAAAAACGTGTCAATATTCCTCCATACTGCTCATCCAATGTAATCCAAGTGTCCTGAGTGGGTAGCATCCAGAATTTACTCGAAACGAAGTCATTTAGAACGTTTTAGAGCCTAAACAGTAGTGTATAGGATTTCCTAATAGCGCCCCCATGCGCGTTCACGATTCTACGAAAGCCGGCAGACCAAACCAGCGCATTCAGCTCGGCAAAGAACTCATGCTCTTCCTCAACACTGAAGTCCTCAGACATTTTTCTTTCGTTGTTTCTTTCTTTGCACAGGTAAACAGCACATTTCTTCTTCTACGCTTGCATTATTGGAAGAGCAGACGCTGAATGCGCACTTTCTTCCGGTTTGGTCTGCCGGCTTCCGTAGAATCGTGAGCGAGCATGGGGGCGCTATTAGGAAATCCTATACACTACTGTTTAGGCTCTAAAACGTTCTAAATGACTTCGTTTCGAGTAAATTCTGGATGCTACCCACTCAGGACACTTGGATTACATTGGACGAGCAGTATGGAGGAATATTGACACATTTTTGTGGACTTTTATGGACCTTTCTTTCTCGGTCACCATAGAACTCCATTTTTTGAATGTCAGCAGACAGCAAGAAGCCTCCCAGATCTCCAGATGCATTTGAGATATCAAAAAAGTACTCCAGAGTTTTGTTCAGCATGGGGGTGAGTAGAAAATGAAGGCTAATCATGTTTTGGGTGTACTATTCCTTTAAGGCTCAGAGAGGAATACTGTGCTTCTCTGCAAGACTCATTCAGAATATTTGCTGCAATCTGATTAATGAAATGAGTATGTTTTATCTTCTCTGACAGTCTTTCCCACTATGGATCAATGGCGAAATAAGCAGGGAAGCTGCTGTTCCTAAAAATATCACACCTATGCTACTCTCTTTCAGGTTTTTATGTATTAATTTATTTTAGTTTTTAACAGCACTAGTGGCTTGTTTTATGGACAATAGGTTGACAGGAAAGGGGGTGTGAGAGACATGCAAGAAAGGACCACAGGCCGGATTCGTACTTGGGTCGCCCGTGTCAAGGAATAAGGCCTCCATACATGGGTCATGTGCCCTAACCACTGTGCCATCAAAGCACACTCCAGATTTCCAGCTTTTTATGCCATGGTAAAATACAGCTTATCTTTAACATGATTTAAAAACCTTACAGGTCCTGTCCCATCCAAAAGAAAATATTTCCTCCTACTATTTTA